GCACCACTATGCTTTTACTGGTGTTAACGTTGATGGTTCCCACAGTCACAACGGTATGTTGGCTCAGTTCTAATGAGAAAGTACCTGTCACGGTGTTACCGTTTTCTAGGCCATTTCATGGTAAATAGATAACTTATTAGGCCACTAACAGAAATGTATACAGAACTGAATTATTAAAAACCTCGAAGAGTTGACTGTGTGTAAAACCTTTTCTTTAAAAAGAGATCTTGTAAAACATATTTCTGTATCCTACTTATAATAAGTTTAACTTCATCCTTCAACCTTTCAGACGGCAAATTATAAATTCAGACACAAATGTTCCCTTTATAGCCTACTAATCCTCAAAATGTTTTATTAGTAATTTTGATATGATTTAAAAGCTGTATCTATTTTGGGGGAATTGTTAATGCAGACCAATAAACTAAAGCCCACCATGAGGTTTGTAGGCTACTTGTACCTTTCTCTTATGGACACAAAAGAAATGCATGTGTATATTGTATTTTCTTAATTATTTCAATCAATCAATCATTTTTTATTTGTATAAAATGTATAATGGGGTGGGGTTGTTCTGGCAGGCCGCCAACCAACGATCTTGAGGAGCTAAGAGAGCTCAAGAGCTCTCAGGAAAGTAGGTGGTTAGTGACTGAGATTTACAGGTAGATACATGCAGTAATATGATATACTGTATATGCACAGAGAGAGAGAGAGAGAGAGAGATAGCTCAAGGTGCCAGTTCCCCCAGTAGTCTAAGCCTATAGCAGCAAAACTAAGAGCTGGTCTACACCAGCACCAGCCCTAACTATAAGATTTATCAAAAAGGAAAGTTTTAAGTCTATTCTTAAAAATACAGACTGTGTCTGGAAGGCGGTTCCAGAGGAGAGGAGCCCAACTGAAGGCTTTACCCCCCATAGTACACTTAGAGACTGTAGGTACCACTAGCAGGCCTGCATTCTGGGACCGTAATGTTCTCGAGGGCAGTAGTAGCTCCTTAAGATAAGATGGTGCCTGGCTATTTAGAGCTTTGTAAGTGAGAAGAAGGATCTTAAATTCTATTCTAGACTGTATAGGGAGCCAGTGCAGAGAAGCCAACACAGGAGTAATGTGGTCCCTTTTCCTAGTTCTGGTCAGTACACGAGCTGCAGCGTTCTGGACCAGTTGAAGAGTCTTTAGAGACTTACCAGAGCACCTGACAAAGAGAGTTACAATAATCCAGTCTGGAGTAACAAATGCATGAACTAGTTTTTCTGCATCATTTTGTGACAGGATATTCCTGATCTTGGATATATTACGAGGTGAAAATAGGCTGTTCTTGAAATTTGCCTGATGTGAGAGCTAAAGACATATCTTGATCAAATAGAACTCCTAAATTCCTAACAGTGGTGCTAGAACAGTGGTGCAGGCTGATGTCATTAAGGACAGTCAAATCACTAGAAAAAGTCTCTCTGAGGTTCTTAGGGCCTAGCACAATAACTTCAGTCTTGTGTGAGTTAAGTAGCAAAACATTTCTGGTCATCCAGGTCCTAACGTCCTTAAGGCACGTTTCTAGCTGACATAACTGACTGGTGTCATCAGGCTTCATTGATACATAAAGCTGAGTATCATCTGCATAACAATGAAACTGTATGGAGTGTTTCCTCATAATATTTCCCAGAGGAAGCATATATAATGTAAAGAGAATTGGTCCAAGTACTGAACCTTGTGGCACTCCATGGCTAACTTTGGTGTGCATAGAGTACTTATCATTAACATGTACAAACTGAGATCGGCCTGATAAGTAGGATTCAAACCAACTTAAAGCAGTCCCTGTAATTCCAAGTGAATGTTCTAGTCTGTATAATAGGATCTGATGGTCAATGGTGTCAAAAGCAGCATTAAGATCTAACAAGACGAGCACAGAGAGAAGTCCCCTGTCTGAAGCTAGAAGTAGATCGTTTGTAACTTTAACTAGTGCAGTCTCAGTGCTATGGTTGACTCTAAATCCTGACTGAAACTCCTCAAATAAACAGTTGTCATGGAGAAAGTCACACAGCTGATTAGCTACCACCTTCTCCAGGATCTTTGAGATAAAAGGAAGGTTGGATATAGGCCTATAGTTAGCTAGAGTTCCTGAATCTAGAGTAGGTTTTTTGAGTAGAGGTTTGATTACCGCTACTTTAAATGACTGTGGTACATAGCCTGCCAGTAAAGACATATTGATCATATCTAATATAGAGTTGCTAACTAAGGGAAAGACTTCCTTAAACAGCTTGGTTTGGATTGGGTCCAAAAGACAGGTTGATGGTTTCGACGCAGAAATAATTGAATTTAGCTCTGAAAGGTTGATTGGAGAAAAACAGTCTAGACTAATATCTGGTCCTGGAACTGTCTCTGCCGTATCAGACGTATCCGCACCAGGTAAGGGCAGGAGGTTACTAATTTTGTCTCTGATGTCTAGAATTTTGTTTGTTGAAAAAGCTCAGGAAATCATTACTGCTGAGGGCTAAAGGAATACAAGGCTCAATGGAGCTATGACTCTCTGTCAGCCTGGCTACAGTGCTGAAAAGGTATCTAGGATTGCTTTTGTTTTCCTCGATTAGAGAGGAGTAGTAGGCAGCTCGAGCGTGATGTAGAGCCTTCATATATTTTCTATGACTATCCTGCCAGAATAAACGAGATTCTACCGTTTTGGTCGAGCGCCATATTCTTTCAAAATTTTGCGACGATTGTTTTAGAGTACAGGTTTCTGAGTTGAACCATGGAGCTATTCTCTGCCGTTTGATAACCTTCTGTTTTAGGGGAGCAATCAAATTAAGAGTAACTCTCAGTGAATCCACTGCACTATCAACAAACTGATCTAGCTGAGAGGGACTAAAGCTATCATAAGAGTTTCCAACTGGGTTGAAACACGGTACTGAATCAAAAGCAGCTGAAATAGCTTCCTTAAATCTAGCTACAGCACTATCAGACAAACTTCTAGAGAGCACATTTTTATTAAGCAGTGATAATTCTGGTCGGACAAAGTCGAAAGTAATAAGGAAATGGTCTGATAGAAGAGGATTTTCTAGGAAAACTGTAAGGTTATGGATTTCAATGCCATAAGCTAAAACAAGATCCAGGGTGTGGTTGAAACGATGAGTAGGTTTGTTTACACTCTGGGTGAAACCAATAGAGTCTAATAATGACATGAAAGCTGTGCTAAGGCTCTCATTATCAACATCCACATATTGAAGTCACCTACAACAATTATTCTTTCAATGCTAAGGACTAAATCTGATAGAAATTCAGCAAATTCAGATAGAAATTCAGAATATAGGCCAGGAGGGCGGTAAACTACAACAACTAGAACTGGCTGAAAGGTTCTTGAGACTGGATGTGAAAGACTAAGAACAAGGCTTTCAAAAGAAGAAAAATTCTGTTATTTCTATTCCAGTGAACGTTATCTTGTGCATCTTTACAGCTCTGGAGGTCATTGGAGGAAGATCGACAACGGTGCAGGGAGGAGCAGCTGTCCTCCACTGTAAACTCATTGGTACCACAGAGACCCTCACACAGATTTCATGGCAGAGATTGACCAGAGGAAAACCTCGGACGGACAATTTCTATACAATCTCGTCCCATTATGGACCACGCTCTGTCAATGGCCGTGATGATCGGTTTAGGTTCATTGGGAGTTTTACAGATAAAGAGGGTACTCTCCAGTTATCGAATGTCACACTGATGGATGAAGGCACCTACACATGTGTGTTCACTTTGTTCCCCAGCGGGATCCATGAGACAGCGATACCTCTTATAGTTCCTGGTATGATACATTCAAAATGCTACTCATGTTGTGTTTGTATGTGTGAGTCATGAACATCTTAAGAGTGTGTGTGTTAACTTTGTTGTTGACTGTCGCTCTCTTAGTGCCTCCGGTCACAAGCCTGAAGGATGCTCATCCTGCTTTGGGTAACGACGAGGTCCCTCTTATTACCTGCACGGCTGCTGGTTCCAAACCTCCTGCAGAGGTGAGGTGGCTCACTGGTACTCTGGGAGAGAAAGTGAGGCCGTCAACCAACTCCAGCCTTCATGCTAACGGTACGACTACCACAGTCAGCTGGCTGTTTGGAGTGCCTACCAGAGAACTCAACGATCGTTCAGTCCAGTGTGTCATCACCAGTCCTGCTCTAGAGAGAGAAGAAACCCTGACCTCCACCATACATATCCACTGTGGGTATATAAATACACTCTCCTACATCAGTTGTTTTATCTGTGGTTAATGAACTGTGTTTTTCAGAACATTTTTGAAGCTTCTGTGAGTGAATGGACACTGGTCATGTTTTATTCCTCCTCGTCATCCTCTTCTTTTTTTGGTTTTCATTGTTGTATAAGATGAGCCTTCACCACTGACCAATGGCACACAGTTATCAAAGTGTTCATCAGCCAGCAGACTTGTTTAAAGCTGAATCTGCTAACTTTTTTGTTTTTGTTTTTCAAATAGCCTGACATGTGATTCTCATAAGATTCACTTCTTTAAATTCTGCAGGATGGTCTTTTATTGAGCTGGTCTTTTTTATTCCGTGAAAGAGAGATTTTTACTAAAAAAAAGGGAACATGCCATGTTAATATTCCTGCTTCTTTAGGAATATTTTAAAAGTTGTGGATTTCATTTTCCAGTGGGATTGTGACATTTACTCTTCTGCTAGTCCCTCTCCCCCTGTTCTCTGTGTTTCTCCATTAGTGTGACTTAGTGTGATTAGTGTGACTTCACTGTTGTTTCTCTAATGGGCCTTGAAAAAAGCACATTCATCACAATCAAGTAAAAGTGCATGGCCATGCCAGAAAGGCAGTGTAGGCAGTATGATAAGCATGCTTGGTCTAGTTAGCTCTAAAGCCAGCCAGCTGTACAGTAGCACAATCTTTTAGTGTTGCAGCAGCAGATCATGTTGCTTCAACATTGGACCCCTTCTTTCGATTCCCTGCGGTTGAGCAAGACGCTGTTTTTTTTTCCATAAAGTTGTTTCTTTGGTTTTGCACGACTGCAGGGTTGATTTTATTTTTTTTCACAAAGGAGAATCTTTGATGTGGATATATTTCATATCATTCATACTTGTACAATATAAGCGACCTTCAACAAGTCTGTGAAATGTTTTCCAAATATTTTCACTCAGACACGCCCCTGATATGTTTTTCCACATACTCACATCAATCAGCTGTAATAATAAAGTTGGATTTGCTTTAACTTGCTCTTAACTGGGAAACGATGACATCAGGGCACATTTGAGTAACACATAAACATAAACAAATCAGTTTTTTGGGAGTTGCATCCTGATCATTTTGGGTCTTTTACCCGCTCTTTTTAAAGTGTCTTGGCGCTATACAAATAAAGATTGATTGATTTTACTAAACCAAACTCATATGTATTGAGTTTATATTAAATCATGGGAGTCCTCTCCTGATCTTTGGAAACAGTGATAAAGGTTGCAGATACAGTAGGAGGGTCACACACTTACTGTTGTTGCTTTTGGCTCTTTGTTTCTTCCTCTCAGTCTGCAGGAACAGTTACGTCTCTTGTTTCTGATGGAATTCCCCCAGAAGCCCTCATGTGACACATACTGAAATGCTCCACCTAACTAATAACAAAAAGTCACAGCATTATCTGCAGGTTCTGGTTACACGTTCATTTATCTGTTTTCAGGCTTTATTTAACCTTCCAGTGGGAATGTTTGACCTTAAGTTCTCATCGTCCTGACAAACAACAGCCTCTATCTGAACAACAACATTTTTTTTACTTACTGCTGATGTAGAGTGTGGTGTCCTGCTCTCACAAGTTTTAATCATCCCAGCTGAATAGGATCCAAAGATGATCTGTGTGTGTGTATATATAATTCACGTTTTAGAGAGAGTAATAACACACCTCATTCTGTCTTCCTGTTTGTCGCAGCTCCTCCTCTGGAAGTGAATATCACTGAAAGGTCGGCACACTCCTTTGAATGTCTCACAGAGGCATATCCAGCTGCGAGCTTTACTTGGACGAGGTACAGACATTTAAATAATCTGATTCCAGAGCAAAACATTTTTACAGAAAGCAAACAAAAGAACAAAGATAATCGTGTCTCCTGCTGCCTCTCATAGGCCCACCCAGGTGCATGCTGGTCCTCTACCTGCCTCTTACTTAAATAACCTCTGGTGCCCACAGTGTTACCAAATACCTAACAAAAATATTAATGCAAAGCTAAATTTACTAAACAAACAACTAGCAAAAAGAAAACATTACCCAAAATGTAGAATAATTAAATAAACAACAACACCCAAATATTAATAAACTAAACACCAAAACTAATTCTAACAACAATTAAATAGCTCCAACAAAAACAAAAAATGTGTTTTAATGGAGTTGAAAGTAAATTTGAAGAAAAAAGAAAACATATTAATTGACAATCAACACTGAGAATTAGAGGCAGCAAACTAAGTGTCTGCTTATCCAACACTGTAACAACACAGGGAACTGTAGAGAAAAATAAGATAGAACTTTATCAGAACCAGATAGAGACAGGAACTCAAAAGCAGACTCACACGTGGCTGAGTTCAGGAACAGGCAGAGTTTAATTACAGTCCAGGTCAGTACACAGGAAGGCAAATCTTCAAGGCAAACAAATCCAAAGGGAGCAGGCAAAAGGCAAAACGGTAAGACAGGCACCGTCAAAAATCACTCTAAGTCTAACACGGGGATGTATACACACAGACAATCAGGGCAGGAAAACATGAGGAGGAGGATCTGAAAAACATGACACTAGGTAACTTTATGGATCCTGTCAAACTTAAGAATTCATATAATTCCATAAAATGAATTAGCCTGGAACCAATCAGTTGATTTTGCAGGACCTTGTTTAAAGGTCCCATATTCTTCTTTTGCTGGTTTTATTTGCTCTTTAGTGTGTTTTCCAAGTGTCCTGTACATGTTTAGGCACATCTATGTGCAAAAATTCAAAGTCTGCGGAAACGCAGCTTCTCCTACGTCCTCCTGTTAGCTGTAGCATTAGCTGCATGTAGCACTCGGTTCTAGCCCCCCTCGATAAAAATGTGTCAGTGTGACGTCATTGTCGGTGTGAGATCACTGATCTAAGCCCATTGGCTCATTGTGGCCCAGCAGCTCATGTTGAGATTTCCGAGACGCGTGCTGAGCAACTGACCAATAACGACAGAGCGGATCAGCAGACCAATCAGAGCAGACTTGGCCCACGTGGGGTCTAACAGTGTGGGTGTGGTTAAGAGCTTTTCTGAAGAGTCACCAAAATATGAAAGTCAGCTACAATGTTGATGTAGAACTAACAAGGCAAAATTGGAAGAAGTCAAAAAGGAAGGAAACCGTTTAACTGTCACCAGTTTTTAAACATGAAGGCCTGTGGCTTTAACCGTCAGCCACCAGGAAGGTACTCTGTTTTCACACCAACAGTATTAACTGCTGGTCACAGCAAATGAGTATGAAGCATGTGTACATGCACACAGAACAGAACAGGTTTTGAAAGGAAAGTAGGAAAGAAGATTTTGAGATTTGTTTTTGTGTCTTTGTGCCAATCTAAGTAGTGCCTATAAACGAGGTGATCCTTACAGGAAAAGTTGAAGCACTAACAAGCCTTACCCAGCATTTTGTAGTCAGGCTATCAGTCTGCTGCTGTGACTTTTCACAGAGTTAAACAACTGAAATACACATTCAAGCACCTAAATTATGTTGTTTACAGGTCATTAGCACTTCAGTTACAAAGCTGCTAAGAGGAGCTTTCATTTTGTGTTCAATTTGACTACTACCCCCTGGTGGCTGAAATGGGTACCGATTTGTGTGAAGATGTTTTTTTTTTATCTTTCCATGGCTATTTAAGATCGTAACTGTGATAACAAAATGCAGTTATTCATTATGTTATGTTATGTTATGTTATGGGGGCGGCTGTGGCTCAGTTTGTAGAGTCATCACCTCTCAACCGGAAGGTCGAGGGTTCGATCCCCAGCTGTGCAACATGTCCGATGTGTCCTTGGGCAAGACACTTAACCCCGCATTGCTCCTGCTGCTTCAGTGGCGGTGTATGAATGGATTAGTTTTGTACTTACTCTCTGATGTATGTCTTGTGTCTGCTAAGTAAATTGTTACATTGTAACATGTTTTGATGACAATAAGCTATCATCAATGTGTAATCAGTAGAGTGTTCTTTTAGACTGATAGCTGCAGTGTGTTTTTTTTTATTAAAGTCCTGTAAAGTCTTGCTTATCTTTTTTTACTGATGATGTTTTCTACATTTTCCCTTCATGCACTAAGCCTTATTTTATCTTACTTTGTTCTGCTGTGCATTTTATTGTTATTCTTTTTGGAAAGTTAAATCTAGATAACCAATGATGCTTTAACCACACTTTGCTGTAAGACACTTTTTGTTTTTTCTTTTTTAGCGGTAAAACATTTCACTTCCTGCTCTATGGTTATCTGTTTGCTTTATTTAGCATTTTATTTAAACTGTTAATTTATTAAAGCTTGTAGAAAAACATCACAAATTCTTCAATCCCATGTCGTTCATTTGTGTGTCTTCCTCACATACCATCCCTTATCTGTGGTTAGCTAGGGATCGTTTTTCTTCATGGGTTGGACTATGACACCTTTTTTTACCACAAAACAAATACCCACAGTGAGGGCAAAGAAAGAGACCAAAGCTTGTCTTCATGACTGAATCAATGGAAACAGCACCTGACAGGAAGCTGGGCTGAAGGAAACAAAAGTCCCTTCTTCGTTGTGAGACAGGAATGAATGACTTGTTAAATGGGCTGTATTTCTGTATTTCTGCTATGTTACAAAGACCCGGTCTATCCATCATGAGCACTTTAGCAAAGCAGCAAAAGTTACAGTGGTAAGAAAAAACCTTCTTATTAAAAGGCAGAAATCTTCAGCTGGATCCCCGGCTCATGATGAAACAGCCTTCACAGGCCTAGACTGCGCCGGGCTTGGAAAGGGATAGGGGGAGAGATGGGATAAAATGCAGGAAGAGGGATAGGGAGCAAGGGGGTGATGACGATTGATGACGATTCTGACGTCAAGTCGGCAAGACGAGCACCTCCTTCTTTTCCGAGTTTCCGACTTGTTGTTCCGACTTGAGCAGGTGTTCATGTGCATTTTACAACTCGGGCATCGTTTTTCCGATGTGCCTGACACCCTGAATGCACCATCTGCCAATTGTGCCGTTCGATGATGTTACCACTGTTATTAGCCAATAGTTTATCTGTTTATCTGGAACAGTGAATTTAGTTAACACATGCTTTGGAGAACGATCTAATTACTGTCTTCAGAGAAAAAGTTATGCAAGTACACAAAACACAAATGTGGTCAATTTTGTCCTGCAACCTCGTGGTGCCAATACATTAATGGACTAAATAGTAGGCTGCTGGCATGTACAACAGAAGAGGTCCACCGAGAGTGGATTGTTTTTAATTCTGCCAAATGTGCTTTCCTCCATCATTCATTTTGCCACTTGTTAAACTCTCAGGGCCAGATTTACTGAGCTCCCAAGTAAAGAGTACTACATTGCGCGTTCACTCCAAAAGTTTGCACGTTTGGTTGGTGGGCGTTTTGCGGGAGATCTACTAAGAAAATTTGCGTGAATGACACCAGGTGCAAACCTTGTGGAGGCGGAGCTATTTAAGTTAGGTTTTTGCGTGTTCTACTGGTTTACATCACGGAGAGTTTGGACAGAAAGCCAGATGACTGCAAGCGCAAAATAGGTATCAGTGAGAGAGGCAAATAAACGCACAATACTTTCGAGTTATAGAAGATAAATCTGAATATTACAAAGAAACTTTTGGTTATAAGAAAACCTCGGCATTAAACAGGGCCTCTCTTTTCTTCATCTTAAGAATGAAGTGTCATACATTGAGCAGGAGGTGTGAGCTGTGTCCTCTGTGGACCGGGCGCTCTACACTCCCTGTTGTTGCGCAGCAGACAGCTGGTCAGCGCTGTGTCTGATCGGACATAAATGCCCTGGAAAAAGGTATCGAAGACGGGGGTACAAACAGTGGTGAGGTCCCCTAATCCAAGCGTCCTACGGAGTAGCAGCAGCTTTAGAGGGAGGAGACGAGCGCATTATGGAGAGGAGCGCACCGGAGGGGGCGAGCTGGGGGAGAGACGCGCAACCCGAGAAAAAGGAAATCCCCAGTTTAAAATGTAATGTTGGTGAAAAGAGAGAAATAGGATGACATAAATGTCAATGTTGAAATTCTATAGAATTCAGAGGCTGTGAATGTTCAGTTTTGTTTGGCTAGATGGCAACAACAGCCTGTAGTTTAATCACGTTGTTTATCTTTCTTAACAATTAGAATATTGAATCAAATTAAAAAATAAAAGCATGCCATTTATTTTTCTGTCATTTGAAAGATGGAAACACTGTGATGTTGCGGCCTTCTTTACCAGGTTTGTAGGTAAAATGTTCTCTGAATTTCCATGACAAAAATACATTTTTGTCCTCCTCCTGGTCGTTTGTCTCATCCTCTGCCATTGTCATTGTGTGGAAAGTGCTCTCGCGCATTGACTTGCAGCGTACCTGCGCACATAGAGCCACCTGCTACCTGCGTGTAGTGCCGTAAAGTAATCCCTATAAGTAATCCTTTTTTGAGAAAGTAACTGTATTCAGAATACACCAATTTAAACTGTAACTATAACGGAATACAGTTATTCTTATTTTGTATTTTAAATACGTAACGCCGTTACATGTAATCCGTTACTTCCCAACCCTGCGTTTCAGACAGGGAATCTAAAGGCCAATATGACACAACAACTATAAAATAAAAAGGACAAGAAAGCCAAAAACAATAAATTCATCAATTCAATTAATTAAGAAAGAAATATTAACAATGATGAAATTATATTTCAACTTTTGTTTAGGTTTAGATTAAGTGAAATACTAAGGCATACATAAGGTGTAAGACATAAAAAGATCTTATACATCTCAAAGTATTTAGGAAGTCAAATAACTTAATTTAAAAATTCTGAATTTCCCCCACAGAGGGGATGAATCAAATATTGACTTATCTATCTAATATAGGGTAACAAGATATCTATCTATGAAATTTGTTAATCTTGAGATAAGCTTAAATAATTTAAATTTCTGTAAAAAAATACTTGGCAAGTGTAATCAAGTTATTTAATGATCAAGTTATTGCATTTTTTTTCTATAATCCAGGTAGAG